GCACTTCGAGCGGGTGGCTTGCTGCTGCTGCATCAACTGCCTGCCGCAACAGCAAATCTACAGCCTTCTCTTTGTCTCCGTTGCATTGAGCCAAAACGCTGCAGCAGCAACAGCAGCAGAAAAACAGCAGCAGCACCGCCCCAAGCAATAGCAGCAGCAGAACAACAGCAGCAGAACCACAAGCAGCAGCAGCACCAGAAAAACAGCAGCAGCAAAAGCAGCAGCAGCAAAAGCAGCAGCAAGATACAATGCGTTTGTTTTGTTTTATTATATATTTTTTTGTTTGCACTTCCCTCTGTTGCTAGCAGCCGTCCCTCTTCGTTTATTTTGTGTTTTTGTTTGTTTCTTTGCTGCTGCACTCTTCTTTAATTTGTTTATTAATTGTTTATTAATTGTTTATTTGTTTATTTATTTATCTTCTTCTTCTTTCACTCACTCTTTTATTTGCTCTGCTGAGGCGCTGGGGATAACTGATTGAATATACTCAATGTCCGATGCATGCGAAGCAGCATTCCTGTTGCTGCTGCTGCTGCTGCTGCTGGAGCCTTGCTGCTGATGGCCGTTGTCGTAGTGCGTCTCGTGCAACAGCAGCTGTGGTAGCGGCTGGTCTGAGCCGCGCTGCTGCTGCTGCGGCTGCTGCTGCTGCGGCGGAAGCTGCTGCTGCTGCTGCGGCGGCGGCATATAGGGGGGTTGCTGCTGCATGTATTGAGGTTGTTGCTGCTGCGAATAATGCGCCTGCTGCTGCTGCTGCGGGTAGTACGGGTGCTGCTGCTGCTGCATGTAATATGGCTGCTGCTGCTGCGCCAAAGGAGGTGGAGGATATGCCCCGTGCTGCTGTTGCTGAGGGTAGTACTGCTGCTGCTGCTGCAGCATCTGTTGCTGCTGCAGCTGCTGCACCATGTAGGGGCTTCCCCCATGTTGCTGCTGCATATCTTGTAAGGCTAGCTGCTGCTCATGTCTCTGCTGCTCCAGCCGCAGAAACTGAATGTGCTGCTGCTGCTGCAGCAGCTGCTCCTGCTGCTGCCTGTGTGCTGCAGCATCAAAGCGTCGCAGCTGCAGCCGCAGCAGCAGCGTAGCAGCAGCACCGAGGGTTGGTAAGGGAATAGTTATTTGCTGAGGGCCCTGACGAAATAAACAAACAACAAATACAAGAAAAAACAAAGCTTTCACCCTTCATCGCACTTGCATGCAAATGCAGCAGCAGCTAAAGCAGCAGCTGCTGCTGCAACAGCAGCAGCAGCTAAAGCAGCAGCAGTTAAAGCAGCAGCAGCAGCAGTTAAAGCAGCAGCAGCAGCAGCAGCAGCAGCAAATGCAGCAGTTGAATTGTTGGCATTAGCTTAGAATACATGTTCAACAAATTCTGAATGCAGTTTGATGCAAAAACAAAAAAAGCAAACCAACTTAAAACTCTCTCTCTCCTTCTCTGTACATTATATAAATATATATGCATTTATATATGTATATATATATATATATATATATATAGATATATATATAGATATATATATAGATATATATACATATATAGATAATTTGCATGCATACATATAAGCATGTATAAATAATATATAGATGTGCATACAAATAATATATATATACAATGTATATGCATATAGACACCCTAAATAGGAGAAGAAATGGAATATAATTAAAAAGTAAATTAAAAGCAGAGAGGTGTATAAACAAAGAAATACCTGATGCTCGGAGGTAGGTATGCATATTTCTTTTTGTGTTATTTCTTTTTTTTTCAGCAAACCACAACGCCAAACCCGCAGCAAAAGACGGCTGCCATCAGTTGCTTCATCAAAAGGCAGCAAGAACTCCGCTTGCTGCTGCTGCTGCTGCTGCTGCTGCTGCTGCTGCTGCTGCAGCGGATGAGGGAAAGGCCGCAAAGGGGGAGTTTTCTGCTTCTCCCCCCGCCATAGAAACTTCACATATAAAGGCTGAGCTGCAGATACACCCCAAATACCCAGAACCTCCAGCCGCAGCCTCAAAGGACCTTCCATCTCCTAAACCCTAAACCCTAAACCCTAAACCCTAAACCCTGAGCCGGGAATTGTTGGGTTTCAGGAAGATTGATAGAGTTAGTGGAGGTTTCGTGAGGATATATTATACTCGCATTTCTTGTTTTTGTTTATCATTGAGGTGTATATACACCGGAACACTGCTGCATACTGAGAGAGTTGTTGTAGGTGCCGCCTATACACCTGAAAATAAAACTGTTTGTTCGTTTTTTATAATTAAATAAATCATTTCTAATTAAAAGAAGAATATTAATGCAGTGAAAAGCTGCTTAGGGCTGGCTGCTGGGGCCCCTTCGCCTGCTGCAGCATTTATAATTATTTCTTCTTTCTTCTCTGTTTATTAAATGCAGTGTAAATAAACAGTAAGGTGTACATACACCTCAGATAGAACGTAATCAAACTTTTTAATTCATAACTGCAGCAGAGTATTATCATAGCCCATACACGTTCCACCGGTCTACTGTTGCTGCTGCTGCTGCTGTTGCTGCTGCTGCTGCTGCTGCTGTTGCATGCGTTTGCCTCAGCCCCGAAAGGAGCCTTATTTATGTTGGGATGGGTTTGTTGTTGCTGCTGTTGTTTAGCTGTAGATGATGTTTATATGTTTTTTTCTTTGATTTGTTTTTCTTTTTCTTCACCTTCTTCCTATTCATCATTGGGCCGAGTGTTGCTGCTCTCCTGCTCTGTCCCTCTCTCTGCTCTGTATGCCTTTGTTGCTGTCTTTTTGCTGCTGTTTGCTTCTAATTAGAGGTTATAATACTGCATTATAAATGAAGCAATAAACAGCAAGCTACACCCTGTCGAGCTGCTGGGGGCTCCTCTTCTCTTCTTTGCTGCAGTGCAGCCCTGTGCAGTCAACCATGACAGCTATTCCTCCCCCTCCGCCCCCCTACAGCAGCAGCAGCAGCAGCAGCAGCAGCAGCAGCCAGCAGCAGCAAAATGGAGTTCCCCCCCAACGGGAAGGCAGCCGCAAAGCTGCTGCTGCTGCTGCTGCTGCAGCCTCACTGACATACTCTGAGCTGCAGAACCACCACCTTGTTAAATTAGCGAGACGAAGTTGGTTGCTGCAGCAGGAGCAGCAGCAGATTGTGCATGCGGATGTGGGGCCCTACTTTGTTGCTGCTGCAGCAGAAAAGAAAAGAGCAGCAGCAGCAGCAACAGGTAAAGCGCAAGAAGCAAGGAAAACCCTTGAAGCAATTAAAAAACAGCAGCAAAGCCAGCAGCAGCAAAAGGAGCTGCACCGCCAGCAGCAGGTCCTCGCGGCAGCGGAGAAGCGTGCTGCTGCTGCTGCTGCTGCAGCAGATGCAGCAGCAGCAGCAAAGCAATCCTGGGAGGCGCGCGAAGAGGCGAGAGGCGCCGGAGGCAGCTCCAGCAGCAGCAGCAGCAGCAGCAAGACAGCAGCACTAATTGCTGATGTGTACAGACAGCTGCGAAGAGGTGGATTCTCTGGGGGCGCCTTACAAGCCTTAGAACACACCCATTACTTAGAGGCCCTCCTATGGCCGTCCTTCAGCAGCAGACCTGCTGCTGCTGCTGCTGATGCTGCTGCTGCAGATGCAGCTCCCAAGTCAGGGCCAGGAGCAGCAAAGGCAGCAACAGCAGCAGCAGCAGCAGGAACAACACAGCCTGCTCACCTGCTAAGTATATGCGCGTTGCTCGTCAGTTCAGGGGCGAGGGGTGGGGAGATGCTGCAGCCGCTGCAGCGGCAGCCACGCCAGCTGCGCGCTCTGCTGCAGCTGGAGGCCCCAAGAGCCCCCACGGAGCAGCAGCAGCAGCAGCAGCAGCAGCAGCAGCAGGAAGATGCTGATGACTTGCCTGCAGAGTTTCTAGATGCTAAGGTCAAAACCCTCTTCTACAGGCTCGCCATGCTGCTCACAACCTCTCAACTCCCAGGCAAGAAGCAGCAGCAGCAGCAGCAGCAGCAGCAGGAAGGCAACAAGGGAAACGAGAACAGCGCGGCTGTTGATGCGCCCAACAACAACAGCAGCAGCAACAACAACAACAGCAGCAGCAACGGCACCAGCAGCAGCAGCAGCAGCGGGAAGCTGGTGTACACTAGCGACACGCGAGAGCAGCCTCCATTGGGTGATTGCATAATTGTGCTGTCAGCAGAGGAGCAGCAGCTGCTGCTGACTTTCTTTATACGCGCTTTTCAAGGGCTAGAAAATAATTTGCTGCGTAGGCTTTGTCTTGCTGTCTGCGGCCCCTGCTGCTTCGCCAGACTGCCAAAGTCTGCGCAGCAGCAGCTGCTGCAGCGCAGCGCTGCTGCTGCGCTGCTGTGGAAACGAGCGGAAAAGCGTCTCCTACCGCTGCAGCAAGTTGCTGCTGCACAGCAGCCGCAGCAGCAGCAGCCGGAGCAGCGGGAGCAGCTGCAGCAACTCATGCTGGATAGAGATTTCATGTTCGTACTGATGAGAAAATTCGTCTTCCTCGCAGGTAAACAGCAGCAACAGCAACAGCAGCAGCAGCAGCAACAGCAACAGCAGCAGCAACAACAAGATCCCTATTAAGGTTCGCCCTAGTCGGCATTGGGCATCATACGAGGATTGCCCAGCACTATAGCATCAGCAGCAACAACAACAGCAACAACAACAGCAGCAACAGCAGCAGCAACAGCAACAACAGCAGCAACAGCAGGTAGTATTTGCATGCGTTTGTGTGCGATTCAGAAGACGAGTGCGGGTCCTACGGAAGAGAGGATGTCCCGCTGTCTCTTGTGCTGCTGCTTGAGAGGATGCTGGAGTTGTTTGTAGATTTGCTGGCGCAGCTGCCTACTCGACGCTGTTTGCTGCCGCTGCTGCAGCAGCAGCAGCTCGCTGTACGCGCTGAACGAAGCGCAGCAGCAGCAGCAGCAGAAGCAGGAGTCTTGCGGCAGCTGCTGCAGCAACTCTTCTTCTACGAACGATTTGAAATCGATGATGACACCGGTTCGCTCCCTGCTGCTGCTGCTGCTGTTGCTGCTGCTGCTGCTGTTGCTGCTGCTGCTGCAGCTGCTGCAGGGGCATTAGTGTGGCGTTGGTTTGTGTTTGTGATTAGCAGTTTATATATTATTTGTTTATATTTCTTTTTGTGTTTTGTTTGTTTCTCGAATTGTTTTTCTTGCGGTGTATTTGCTGTTGGTGGGACGGCGTTTGTTTTTCTTTGTTTTCTTTGGGGGTTTGTTGTTTGTTTGTTGTTTGTTTTAAGGTTTAATGTTTTATAGTTCTTTATTATTTTGCTCTTTGTCTCTACTTTTACAGGGCGCCCCCTTGCAGCAGCTGCCTGTACAGCCCGACACTACGACAAAGTAGAAGCCTTCCAACGTCGCTGCTTTGAGCTGGGGGGTGGTGCAGCAGCAGCAGCAGCAGCAGCAGCAGGAGGAACACCTGCAGCAAATGCTGCTCTTGCTGATGCTGCGCTGCAACCAATCTCTTCTATCGATGATTGGAGGCGACTGCAGCAGCTGCTGCAGCAGCAAGAGCTGCTAACGCTCCTCGACCTGTGCATACACCTGCAGCTGCTAGATCCTTTGCTGCTTCCTGGTGTAGCTGAACCGGCAGCTGAAGCAGCAGCAGCAGCAGCAACAGCAGCAGCAGCTGGTGCGCGCCAACTCGCAGCAGCAGCAGCTTGCAGCAGCAAACGCAGCAAACAGTGGGTAAAGCAGCACCTTGTTGCAGTGTTGGTGAGGGCGCTGCAGCGGGAAGCAGATCAGCTGCAGCAAATCAACAGCCAGCCTATCTATCCTGACGAGCTGGAGCTGTGGAATGAAGTTTTGCTGCCGCCGCAGCAGCAGCAGCAGCACCAGCTGCAGCAGCAATCCCTCGCTCTCCCCAAACTCAACCTCCAATTCTTAACACTCCACGACTACTTGCTGCGAAACTTCCGCCTCTTCAGGTAAACGAACTGCTGCTGCTGCTGCAGTGGCTGCTGCTGCTGCTGCTGCTGTACTCCCTGCGGTTGCTGCAGTGGCTGCTGCTCTTGCTGCTGTACTCGCTGCTTCTGCCGCTGTACTCGCTTGTGCTGCTGTTGCTGCATTAGCTGCTGGCGCTGCAGCAGCTGCTGCTGTAGCCGCTGTTCTGCATGCTGCTGCCGCGCTGGCTGCAGGCGCAGCAGCAGCAGCAGCGGCAGCATCGTGTAGCAGCAGCAGGATATTTTTGTCTCTCTCTTTGTGCAATTGGATTTGCATGCAAAGGGGACGTATATAGATAGGGCTAGAGCGTTTGCTGCTGCTGCTGCTGCTGCTGCTGCTGTGGGGCGTATCTACAGGCTGGAGTCGATATACGAGATAAAAGAAGAGATAGAAGATGCTCTGTGGCGCTTGAGGCCTCGGAGGAAGCTAGCAGAAAACGCTGTTGCTGCTGCTTACCCATCAGCAGCAGCAGCAGGGCAGCAGGACCTGCTGCAGCAGCAGCCGGAAGCAGCAGACTATCTCGGGGGTGAAACTGTCTTTGAGGGTTCCTGCAGAATGGCGCTCAAACTCGAGCGGTTTACTGTTGTCTCTGTCGAACCCCCTAGGGTAATACTGATGCTGCTGCTGCTGCTGCTGCTCGTTCTGCTGTTGCTGGCGTTGGTACTGCTGCTGCTGCTGCTGCTCGTTCTGCTGTTGCTCGAGTTGGTGCTGCTGTTGCTTATTCTGCTGTTGCTGCTGTTGCTGCTGCTGTTTCTGGTTCTGCTGTTGCCGGTATTTTGCTGCTGCTGCTGCTCGTTGCTGTTGAGGCTTTTGCTGCTGTTGCTTCGAACGATGCTAAGCTGCTAATTAAGTTTATTTTTCTTATTTCTACTGCATGCATATAACAAATATAAATATTTATTTATTTATTTATTTATGTTTACAGGTTGGAGAGCATTTTCCTGCTGCGGTGTACGCGGAGCTGGTGTATGATATTGGGGGTTGTCAGCAGCAAGTGCGGCATGAGTGGGACAGCTTAGGGAAGCACGATATAGTTTTTTGTTTAGCTGTCTCTCCTCCGCTGCATGCGCTGCAGCAGCACCCGGAGGGTCTTCCTGCTGCTGTTGTTAGACAGGGCTTCGGTGTAATTGCAGTAAGAGGCGCAGAAGTTGTGGAGCTACTCGATCAAGAAGGTGTATGCATTTCAGAGCCAAACCCCCTCAAACGTAAGCTTCCATATGCTGCTGCTGCTGCTGCTGCTGCTGCTGCAACGCATGGAGCAGGAGTGGGAGATTCTGTGGGAGAGAAGCATCAGCAGCAGTAATTGCAGCAGCAGCAGGGACTGCAATCGTAGCAGCAGCAGGAGCAGCAACAGCAGCAGCAATTCATCGTCTTTATTTTGTTTCTTATTTGTTGTATTTCTTCGGTTTTCTTATTTGAATATTTTGCATACGTTAATTTAGTGAATTTATTATTTGTTAATTAATTTTTAGAGTTATTATTTATTATTAATTCTTTCTTTTTTATGTTTGTTTTTTTTCTCTCAGCTCACCGACCCGTTGGTACATCGCGTACACTTCGCGTGTTATTAGATAGCTGCGCATACACTCGAGATTTGCAAGAATTAAAAGAAGGTGGTGTGTCTTCCCTTCATGCTCAAATGAACATGTTGCTGCGTCGTAGCGCTCGCCAAAATAACTTTAAAGGGGTCTTGCAGACAATTCGCTGTCTCATGAACAATGAAGAAGAATTGATTATCCCTCCGTGGCTTCAAGATATCTTTTTAGGGTATGGAGACCCATCGAGCTGCCTATACACCCGAATGCGTACCCGTCTACCTGTTCTAGATCTAAGAGATACATTTATAGATCTACAACATATCAAAGAAGCATTTCCTTTTGCAGCCAGTCTGCAGCTTCCTTCTGAAGAAGAGATGCAAACCCTAACAAAACCACCTTATTATAAGCTTAAATTCGTATTGCCTGACAGCAAGCATCAAGCAGCAGCAGCTGCTGCAGATCCTGCTGCTGCTGCTGATCCCGCTGCTGCTGCTGCTGCTGGGATCGATCCATTGGATGGAAGTCGCGCTCATATATCAGTCTCGAAATATACTTTAGCTAGCTATGGCCCTTATAAAGAATGCGAACGCAAAAGAAACAAAATCAGGTAAGGCATCTATATCAACAACAACACTCCTTGCTCCTGCTGTTGCTGCTGATCCTGCTGCTGCTGCTGCTGCTGCTGAGTTGCTTCCACGCAGAACGTGCTTCACATTATTTCTCCCCAGCAGCAGCAGCAAATGAGCAGCAGCAGCAGTAGCAGCAGCAGATGTCCAACAACAGCAGCACCACTATATTGCCAGTAGAACAAGCAGCACAAGGTTAAGAATAGCTGTGCATTTGCTTTGCAGCATTTCGTTGTCTTTCTCTGTCTTTATGTCTCTCTTTGCGGATATACATATTTATTATTATTTATGTTCCCCCTTCATTTCAGTGCATATTTATTTCTGTATACATATATATATATTTATATATTTATTTATTTATTTATTTAATTTGTTTGCATATCTCCCTTTCTTTATTTGCATGCGTATTTATGAATTTACCTAGTGTGCATTTACTTGTTTTTCTCTGTATTTCTTTGTATTGAATATTTATTTATTAATTATTCGTTCATTTATTCCTAGTAAATTAATTACTGTATTTATTTATTTATATTTATATTTATTTATATGTTTGTTGGTTTGTTTATTCAGATTTACACCCGCCCAAGTGCGTGCATTGATATCGGGTCTACAGCCAGGACTAACATTAATATTGGGGCCCCCAGGTAGCGGGAAGACAGATACTGCAGCACAATTAGCTAGTTTGCTTTATCATGCATCTCCTAATGAAAGGATTGTTCTTGTCTCTCACTCTAATGCTGCTCTTAACGATCTCTTCCGCAAGGTAGCAGCACTTGATGTAGATGAGACCAGACTGCTTAGACTTGGAAGGGGATCTGCAGATCTACAGCAGCAGCAGCAAGCCCTCTGGCAGCAGCAGCAGCAGCAGCAGCAGCAAATGGGGGATGATTTGCTGCTACCTTTAGAAGGCTGTGATGATCTGGAGGACTTCTCCTTCTCTAAGCATGGTAGAGTTAATAAAGTGCTTGAAAGAAGAAAGCATTTGCTGCAGCAGGTTGCGAAACTCGCTGCATGCATTGAGGAGGAGCTTGCTGCTGCTGCTGCTGCAGCAACAGCTGCTGCTGCTGCTGGCAGCAAAAATGCAACTCCTCCGGTTTCGGTGTCTGTAGGAGACGTCAGCTCCAGCTGCGAAGCAGCGCTGCAGTTCTTCCGATATCATATTCAGTTTAGGAAAGAAAGATATACAGCAGTACTCGATAACATCAAACGGCTGCAGCAGCAGCAGCAACAGCAGCAGCAGCAGCAGCAAGAGATACGGAAAAAGATTGAAGCAGCAGTAGAACGCTATGAACAAGAAAAAGGCAGCAGAATCTTCATCATGCTCCCAATCAGCCTCAAAAAGCCAAACCCAGACAACCAGCAGCAGGACCAACAGCAGCAGCAGCAGGACCAACAACAACAGCAGCAGCAGCAGCAACAGCAGCAGCAGCGTGAACAAGGAGGGAAGCGTCCGACTTCAGCCCCTGCTGGTAACCGCCAAAAGAAGCGCAGGCAGCAAGAGCAGCAGCAGGAACAAGAGGAGCAGCAGGAGGAGGAGGAGGAGGAGGAGGAGGAAGAGCAGCAGCAGCAGCAGGATAGCGATAAGGAGTCTGCTGTGCCTGAGGGTCTTTTTGCTGTTGATGCAGTGGTGAGGGTTTGTGTCTTCATATTTTGTTCATTTCTGCTGTCTTTGTCTTTCTCTGTATTTGTTTGTCTCTATTCTTCTCGCTCTGTGCATTTTGCTGCTCTACGCTTCCCACTCCTTCAGTTGCTGCTGTTGTATCACTTGAGCTTGCTGCTGCTGCTGCCTGCTGCTGCTGCTGCTGCCAGTTAGGGGCTAGCCCTGATGCATCTGGCGTTGCTGCTGCTGTTCGTGCTGCTTCTGGTTATTTACCTTTTCTGCGGTTGTTTCTGCTGCTGCATATTGCGCTGCTGCGTTTGTTCCTTACTTGTTGCTGCTGTTGCTGCTGCGGCTGCTGCTGGTGTGTACAGACAGCTCACTACGAGTACGGGCGTAGCTTTGAAGAGTTGTTATTCCCCTTTACTTCTTTCTTTAGTGATGCGCCGCAACCTCTCTTCCCAGGGGAAGCAGCAGCAGATGCAGCAGTTGCGGAGAGCTGCTTCCGTTATATGGAACAGATGCAGCAGCAGCTGCACGACTATCGTTCATTTGAACTCCTCAGGACTGCTGGAGACAGAGCAGACTTCCTTCTTACGTAAAACACTCATGCTGCTGCTGTTGCTGGTGCTGCTGGTGTTGCTATTGCTGCTGGTGTTGCTGGTGCTGTTGATGCTGCGGCTGTTGATGCTGCTGCTATCTCTGCTGCTGCTGGTGCTGCTTTTGCTGCTGTTATTTATGCTACTGCTATCTTTGCTGCTGCTGTCAACGCTACTATTATACATGCTGTTTCTATTCACTTTTTGTTGGTAATATTCAACTCATGGAACATCTGTGTGTGCGGCTGCTGCTGCTGTTGCTGCTGTTGCTGCTGCTGCTGCTGCTGCTGCAGGACGCATGCGCGTATGATAGCGATGACTTGCACGCATGCAGCGATAACTCGGGACCGATTGGTGGAGCTGAATTTTACGTTTGACTCTTTAATAATTGAAGAAGCTGCTCAAATTCTTGAAGTGGAGACGTTCATTCCAATGTTGCTGCAGAAAGCAGCAGATAAAAACACTCGCCTTAAACGCGTTGTGCTGCTCGGTGACCATCATCAGCTGCCGCCTATTGTTAAGCACATGGTAATTATATACAATACATAAATATGTAAATATTTATATATATATACTATTTCATTTCATATAATGTTTTATAATATTATGTTTATGCAGTTGTTATAATATTTATTATGAATTACGTTGTCACGTATTGTTAAACATATGGTAATTAATTATATACAATATATAAATATAATATTAATATATATATTATATATATTGTTTTATTTTATATAATGTTTTATAATGTTATATTTATGTACTAATAGTATCTATTATGAATTATATTGTGTTATTTCATTTCATATAATGTTTTATAATATTATGTTTATGCAGTTGTTATAATATTTATTATGAATTACGTTGTCACGTATTGTTAAACATATGGTAATTAATTATATACAATATATAAATATAATATTAATATATATATTATATATATTGTTTTATTTTATATAATGTTTTATAATGTTATATTTATGTACTAATAGTATCTATTATGAATTATATTGTGTAGCTACCGTATTTTTTCAGAAAATATGAATGTTATTTTTGTGGAGTTTTATGTTTGTATTATAATGTATAGCATTATAAAATATAGCATCTATATATATGTATATATATGCATATATGTTTATAATATTAATATATATATTATATATATTGTTTTATTTTATATAATGTTTTATAATGTTATATTTATGTACTAATAGTATCTATTATGAATTATATTGTGTAGCTACCGTATTTTTTCAGAAAATATGAATGTTATTTTTGTGGAGTTTTATGTTTGTATTATAATGTATAGCATTATAAAATATAGCATCTATATATATGTATATATATGCATATATGTTTATATATATGCACAGCTATATCTATTATATTCGCATATCTATTATGTTTATTGCATATTATTCATATAATCAATGCTTACTACATACTGTGCACAAAACATAAACTAGAATATACTCATATATATATGGAATGTTATTTTTGTGGAGTTTTATGTTTGTATTATAATGTATAGCATTATAAAATATAGCATCTATATATATGTATATATATGCATATATGTTTATATATATGCACAGCTATATCTATTATATTCGCATATCTATTATGTTTATTGCATATTATTCATATAATCAATGCTTACTACATACTGTGCACAAAACATAAACTAGAATATACTCATATATATATGTATATATGCATATATCAAATACAATATATACATATATATGAATTAGACATATGCATATATACATATATATATATACATATATATATACATATATATATGTGTGTGCGTATATATATTTATGCTGCAGAGTTTGCAGCGTTTCTCTCACTTGGATCAATCTTTATACGAGCGTTTTGTTCGACTGGGGGTTCCTCACATTTCGTTGGATGTACAAGGGAGAGCGCGGCCTTCAATTGGGCATTTATACAGCTGGAGATATAATCGTTTAGGAGATCTCGCAGCTGTAAAGGAGAAAGCTGTTTTTAAAGCACCTAATCCTGGTTTAAGCTTTGTGTATCAATTTATTCATGTTGGTCCGTTTAAAGGAAAAGGAGAAAGCTCTCCGTTGCCTCATTTTTATCAAAATCTAGGAGAAGCTGAGTTTGTTGTTGCAGTGTATATATACCTCAGACTTCTCGGGTATCCTCGAGAGCGTCTCGTTCTTCTAACTACTTATAATGGTCAACTCGCACTTATTCAAGATATACTTCAACAAAAATGCAGTTGGAATCCTGTCTTAGGAATGCCCCGAGCTGTCAGTACAGTCGATAAGTTCCAGGGACAACAGGGAGACTGTACGCAACCCCACTTCGTTCACTTTTTTCTTTCTTTCTTTTTCTCGTTTTTCTTTGTTTGTCTCTTTGTTTGTCTCTGTGTTTGTCTCTGTGTTTGTCTCTTTGTTTGTCTCTGTGTTTGTCTCTTTGTTTGTCTCTTTGTTTGTCTCTG